AGATAGATAGATAGATAGATAGATAGATAGATAGATAGATAGATAGATAGATAGATAGAATAATTCAGTTTTTTACTCCAGATAGATAGAGAGATAGATAGAATAATTCAGTTTTTTACTCCAGCATTTCCTTACAGACAAGTGCCGTAACATTTACATTTGGAAAGGGATTGTGCATGGGCAAGGACATTAGAGGAACTTTCCCAAAGATTTTCATTCCTTGGGCTATTTCATGGTGCAGGATTGTGCTCTTCTTCTGCTGTCAACATTCACTGGGAGGGAACAGGCATGTGTCCATTATACAGGAAGTGAAACTGAGGCACAAAGCCAACCCGTCCCTGCTCCCAGAGAAGATCTGGGAGACACAGAGATCCCAGAGACACAGATCTGGGGTGAAAACATCTGAATTTTTGCTGAATTTTTCCTCAATGTTTTTAGTAACAGCATCCAAACCACTGCCTCCTTGTTTCCTAGTGAGAAGGATGATCCAGGTGTCAGCTGTGGGTTCTTTCCCTGTTTCATCAGGACCAGGGATGCTGCATGAGACCCATTTGCTTCCCTCCCTCGCTCAGCTTTTATTGCTACTTTATTTTTAACTAAAAATAGTAGAAATGAGTGAAAGCAGACTAACATCACATAGAAACTCAAGAGAAAGCAAATTGTCCAGAAATTCAAAGATTTGCTTACAGTAAGGCAAAAGGTTTCTTACTGAGATCTTAAAAGGAAGCAGATGAAGTGAGGTAGTGAGTGGATTTAGCTGGAGCACATGGGAGAGTCCTGGGAGGGGAGGTGAAGCTCCTGGAGAGTGTTTGATGGCAAGGAAATGGCAGCTGGGGAAGGGAAATGGGGCCCAGCCCAGGAAGAAACGGGAATGTGATGGGAAACGAGGTAAAGGGTGTTTCTGTTCCCACCTCAGCCTTGTGGAGAGCCCAGCTCTGCCAGGAAGGGAGGCAGGGAGAGGCAAAGGGACATGCCAGCACTGCTCAAAGGGACTGAGAACAGCCCCAGCAGGACACAGATCCCACCTGGGCACAGCCTCTCCCTGCTCACACCAACCTGCTCGGTGTCCCCCTGACAAGGAGACTCCCACCCAAGGACACGGCTGAAAACTTCCCCCAGCAGCTGCCCTGTTATTTTGGGGGAAGAGTCTCCCTGAGAATGTCATAGGTTCAAACATCTTCCCCCAATTTGCTTTACCTCTAATTTCAGCAGGAGAAGAGGGTTATCCATGATTCATTTCTCCTGCTGTCCATGAGATTCCACATCATGTCCTGTTCCCATGAAGCTGTCACTGAGAACAAGGGGATGGATGCAGGACCTGGGGGCTCCCAGGGGTGTTTTGTCAATGTCCCACAGGCTTTTATACTCACCAGGCAAACATTGGGCTTGCTTCCCCTGGAGAAAGGTCTGGAAAAGCCCATCCCTGTCCAGGGATGTGCACAAGAATGGCACAGCCAAACTGCCACCGTGGGGCACATGTGGGGCTGTGGATGTTCCACGGGATGCACTGAGGGATGTGCCACAGGATGAGCACTGGAAATTGCTCACTTTCCAGGCAAGCCTTCAGCCGAGGCTGAACGAGAGAAAACATCCTCATTACAGCCTCAGATCCCTAACATTTAACACAGCTTCCCCACTCCCCCAGGGCTCCCTCCTGGGGAAGATCTCTCCTGTTTACATCCATCAAATGCCAAATCCCGTTTCCTCATGGCCTGATGGGGCAATGTGGGTGGGATCACACAAACTCCAGGTGAATATTGACTTTCCAATGACACTGTTCTAGCCCAAACACCACCTGCTGCACAGGGCAGCCAAAGGGGGCCGGCGTGTCGGCGGTCCAGCAGAGGAATTATTTGATTCCCCTGCCCTGCAGCAAGCTGTCTGCCAGGAAATTTTCATTTGGTCTCTCCAACTCGAGAACCAATTGTAAATGTCAGTGCTAAACACTCAGATTTAAGTGTTGGGTTGTCTTGTTTGATTACGGCACTGAAAGGTCAGAGCTGGCTAATGGAAGTACAAGCGGTGTCGGGAGGGAAACTGTGTTCTGCCGGGGGTGAGCAAACACCTGGGGACAACCTAATCACTCTTCCCGCTGCATCTCTCTCTTCCCTCTCCAGCTCCTTCAGTCAGGGCTGCTTTTACAACCTGGAAAAGCCATTTCTGGGGAAAATTCCTGCTCGTGACGTTGCTGATGGGGATGCTGACAGCGCTGGGTTTCCCTGTGGAGGAAACGCTCACCTCACCATGGCCTGGCTGGATTTCCTCCCAAAGGGAAAGGGATTGCACCAGAACTGGGCTGCTGTCACCCCCACTGGCATCACCCACCTCTCTCCATGCGTGGCTGGGGCTTTGATGCCAAAGTCTCTGAGCCTCCACTTCCATTCCCCATTTTGCTCTGGCAAGCAGCATCCCAAGAGCTCCATGCAGGGAGCAGAACAGGGCTATTTTCCCTTCTCCCTTCCCATTCCCCACCACTCACACACCTTTGAATTCCCCTTCCCCTGAGCTGTTCCACTTGTGGTGACCAAATAAAACTCCAGCTGCCTCAAAGTGACCGAGCTGAGGAAATCTGCTTTAACCGGAGCCCATTCCCATCATTCCTACTCTGTGAGCAGAATTCATTCTATTTATTTTAAAGCTGCTTTTAAAAATATTAGTCCATCTGCCTGGCAGAATAAAACCTTCAGGAGCTTCTACTCCTCTCCAGGGGAACAGAGTGGTGGTCCCAAGCAGGAATGTTCATCACTCCATACAGATGCCATCCTGCACCGGGATCCAGTCCCTGCTGACAACCCCAAAATCTTCCCTGGGCAGAGAAATTCGGTGATTCCAGATGTCTGAATGTTTCTGGACATTTACATCAATGAGCATTGGAAATTTTAGGAAAATTAAGAGTGTTAGGGAATAATTGCAATGTCTTTTCCCCAAGACTCTGGGGTCTGTGGTGGCACTGGCCTCGATTTTATGGTACCAGCCTGGAAAATTGCCAGGGTCCCCAGGGTGCTCACAGCATCTCTCCAGACTCCTTCTCAAGAATCCAAGATCCTGCTGGGCTTAGGGAGAGATCTCCAGCTACCTGAGCCTCCTTTTTCTCCAGGCTAAGCCCCCCCCCAGCCCCCTCAGCCCCTCCTGGTGCTCCAGAGCCTCATTATAGGAGGCATTTGTTTTATTCACAGGCTCCTTTGCAGGAGCATCTCTGGGGAAAGGATCCTGTTAAGTGATGGATGGTGCCAGAAGGGTGAAGAGAAACCACTTTAAAATGTAGAAGGGGAAAAAATCCAAACACCATCACCAAATGCAAAGAAAGCCAAGAAATATCCAACTCCAAACTGAGCTATTTCCTCCCCAGCTCAGGCATGGAGCAGCAGCACTGGGAAAGTCAAAGCAGTTTGTGGTCCATAAGATTAATAGGAAATCTGCTCTGGATTGGGAGCGATTCCCTCTTTTATTGCAATGAACCCCAAAGAGTAATGGCTGCAGGGCAAGAAGAGGAAGGTAAATTGCAGTAATAATGTGTTTCCTTGTGCTGACATGCTTTTGATCATAGAAAAATACACCATCTGTTTCTAAATTACTTGTTGTATTGATTTAACAGTTAGGAATGGGGGCGGAGGGGATTTCTTTTTTTTTCTTTTGCAAATCCATTTTGCAAAGTCTCCTGGAAATCTGACAGTTATGTGCAATAAAAAGTAAGGGCTTGTTCATCATAAAAGATTCCTGCTGCCAGCCATGGGGCTGTGCTGGGAGGAACGGGACATCCCCTTCCTCTCCATCACCCTGTCCTGCCAGGAGCTGTGCAGCTGAGTGCTGATGTACCCCGTAGGAACTATTCTTACACCAAATGAACTCTTACTGCGCTGCCTCTTCCCTGTGAGGGTGGGCAGGCCCTGGCACAGGTGCCCAGAGCAGCTGGGGCTGCTCCTGGATCCCTAGAAGTGCCCAAGGCCAGGCTGGAAAGGACTTGGAGCAGCCTGGGACAGTGAAAGGTGTCCCTGCCCATGGAATGAGATGAGCTGTAGGATCCCTTCCAGCCCAAACCTGTGGTTCTATGGTTCCTCCCTCAGACCACACACACCTCACTCACTGCCCTTTTTGCTCTCAATTTCTATGGATTTCCTTCCTTTTATTGCAACTTTTCCCCCTACACCCCAAAGGCTGCTACAGCATCAGAGTCCCTGCCCTGGGAAGCAGTACAGCACATGGAAAAACCACATGTGTCACCCCAAAACCTCCCTCAAGGCTCCTCCCTTCACAGGGCAGCAGGATACCTGACATAATTAAAACCCACAGAATCAGAGAAGGTCTGGGTTGGGAGGGACCTTAAAGCCCAGCTCATTCCACCCCCTGCCATGGGCAGGAACACCTTCCACTATCCCAGGCTGCTCCAAGCTCTATCAAACCTGGCCTTGGACACTTCCAGGGACCCAGGGGCAGCCACAGCTGCTCTGACATTATTTTGCTGCTAATCACTTGTTGTTCCTCTGCCTGCAGCCTGAGTGTTTTAGTCCCTGGCTAATGGCTTTCCTGGGAGACTCCAGGTGCCCCATGGACAGGGCCAGTGCAAAAGGAGAAGGTTAACCCAGAATTCGGCACTGCAGTGATGCAAACAGAGACTTTTCCTGTTGTCCCAATAACTTTCCAAGACTCTGCTGCTGCTCAGCCAAGCAGCTGCTGCTAGAAAAATATAAAAAACAAAACGCAACTTTCTGGAGTTTGGAAATGATGCTCACCCTCCTCTAACCATCCTAAAGTGCAGGGAATCCAAACCAAAGCTGCTGCTGGCATCAGCCTGTCCCTCTGTGCCATTCCCAGCAGTGCTGGGCACCTTAAAGACTTTTTGTCCCCACCTGAACCCCTCACAGTGTCCCCATCACCACCAGCTCACAGCAGCCTCCAGACAAATCCCTCCCTTCCCCTGGTGGAAAACACCCCAAGGCTCAGCCCAGGCAGCACCCACAAACTGATTTTTGACTTAGCAAAGTGAAACCAGGAGACAGATCTTGGCTCCTGCTGGTTGTGGTCTGCACAGTTTATTTAACCCTCCCAACAAGGCGTTTTCATGCAGAATCTTTTGGTTCATAAAAGAAGTCATTCCGCAGCAGCCACCTGACAATCCTCCCCCAAACTGAGAAATAAAGTGACCCCAGAGTGCACAAAACTAAATGAACCGTCCAACTCCAACAGAGAAAAGTGGTTCCTGTCATTCCATACAATACAGAAAAATTTGGCAAATACAGCTGATCTTGCAGTTCCTGTCCCTTAAGCATTTTAGAGCTGGTTTGGCCTCCAGCCCTTGGGTTGTCTGTCTGGAACACAGACACAGGTCCTTGTGCTGCAGGACCTGGGGACTCTCCGAAGGAACCAACCCAGGTGCAGAAGAGCTGCCGCATCAGCGTTTTGAAGTGGGCAATATAAATATAAAACGTGGATACAAATGGGTTCTTTGTACAGAAAATATCATCTCTCAAGGCACTGGGGTGATGGCCATGTGTCCACTCATGAGCTCCCAACGGGCTTCTCCAGCTGCTGAGGAAGGAGGGGGAAGAAAGCACCGGAGAAGTCCTGGTGCTGCCATCCAAGAGGGGGTTTCACCCCACCGCTGCCCCCAAACACCCTGAGAGGGGTTTTCCTGGCTGGATGGTGCTTTTCCTTGGTGGAGGTGATGTGATCCCATGGGGGCTGCAGTCTCCTTGGGATGGCTCAGGGCTGGGTTTGGCCAGGAGGGAGGTGCATAGATGGGCCCAGGGTTCGGGATTCTCTGGCCAGTGCTAGGCTCCCTCGTCATGCCAGCAGCCCCAGCCGGGTCACCTTGGCTGACAGGAAGGAGTGGATGATGAAGACAATGGTCTTGGGGCAGGAGTGAAGGTCCAGTTGCTGCAAAAAACAAAAGGAGGGATGTTTGTAACGGGAAGGGCTGTTCCTGCAGCAGCCAGCTTTCAGCCAGGGACCACCCAGAGCTCCCCAAACCCAGCACGGCTTTACTGGGGCCCTGGGAAGGGCTGTGCACCCTGGCTGGGGTGGGCAGACGGGGCCATGTGTCATCCCCCATGCCAGGCAGGAAGGGTGCCATGAGCAGGGCAGGTGCTCTGCTCCTCCCCTGCCCCCAGAAGCGTGGGTGGGACTGCTGAAGGCAAAGCCAACTCACAATCTCTCCCTCTGGACCACCAAAATCCAGGTAGAGCATCTTGGTGCCATCATCCGAGGACATCTGCAGCTTCTCGAAGGGCTGCTGGAGCAGGATGGTCCTGCTGAGCCCAGGCTCGCTGGTGGAGATGGTGAAGCCCTTGTCGATGTGGACGGTCAGAGTGCAGTCCTGCCCCTTCCACGTGCAGGCTGGGGACAGACACAGGACAGGGGTGAGCAGGGGATCCCACCGCACCCCCCGGTCCCCCCGGGCCCCCGCTGACCTGCCGACACCTCCTGGGCCAGCTCGGCGGCGCCGTGGGTGCCGTCCACCAGCAGGCGCGTCCACAGAGCAAGTTCT